AATTTCATAAAGATCCATACGCTTACACACAAGTTATTGTCCTGAAACTTGAAAAATGCTTGTTTTTTTGCCCCTTTATGGCCCCTAATTCCTAAAATTTTGAGCGAATTACCCCCAAAATCAATCCCAGCCTTCCCTTTGTAGTATGGAACCTTGCAGTACAATTTTAGAGAGATCCATACACTTGAACACAACTTATTGTCTGGAAACTAGAAAAATGCTTATTTTTGGCCCTTTTTGGCCCCCAATTCCTAAACGTTTTGGGCAATTACCCTCAAACTCAATTCCAGCTTTCCCTTTGTGATATGAAACCTTGTAGTACAATTTCATAAAGATCCATACACTTACACACAAGTTATTGTCAAGAAACTAGAAAAATGCTTGTTTTTTGCCCCTTTTTGGCCCCTAATTCCTAAAATTTGGAGGCAATTACCCCCAAAATCAATCCCAGCATTCCCTTTGTGATATGGAACCTTGTGGTACAATGTCAGAGAGATCCATACACTAACACACAAGTTATGTCTGGAAGTTACAAATATGCTTCTTTTTGGCCCCTAATTCCTTAACTGTTGATACCATAACCCCCAAAATCAATCCCCACCTTTCTCTTGTGGTATTGAACCTTATGGTAAAATTTCATAGAGATCCATTCACTTAAACTAAAGTAACTTTTTAAGTTAGAGTGCGAAAACCACTGTGTCTTCGGACGACGACGACGACGACGCCAACGTCATACCAATATACGACCACAAAATTTTTTTGCGGTCGTATAAAAATCAATTTGATTACCAGAAAACGAAAAATTTTAATTACACCTCCAAATGACAATCCCCCTTTTTTCTCCAAAACAACACAATGTGTTAATCAATGTGTTTTCTTCTTTTCCATCATATTCATTATTGTTTGACAACATCAGAATTATGTCATCCTTTTTTAAAAGTGTGTAATATTTGCTACTGTGCAAAACAATTAACGTATTACATACTATAAATTACATTAAAAACTTAATCCCTTTAAAATATTAACATAAATTATAAGATAATTACTGTAATAGTTTTCTTGTTTTATTTCAACTTCTGATGTCCAACTTTCACATGATTAAACTTTATTGTTCTATTTCTATATCAATATTCACTAGTAATCATTTATACACATTTATAACTGTACTTTAAAACATGGAAGTAATATTGAAAGGAATAACTACAACGCCAGTTCAAAGGTTTCATCTGCGTTTCCGCCCAACTTTCGATAACTCGTTAATTGGTTTAATATATGGCATGGTAATTGACTCTCGGCATGTGATCGATCAAATCACTGACACTTTTCGGTCGTTTTCGTGTTCACGGAAAATTACGAACAGACAAGTTGTTGTCGTATATACGTGCGAAGTAACCCGAAAAGTCAACTCGTTACATTCCGCTGATGTACGCTGCCGAATAGAGTAATTCGTTCAATGTTGCTTTTAGTCTAATTTTCCGATTTCTTTTTATTTCGATCTTAATAAACTGCTTCGCTGAGCGCAGCTGGATACGCCCGCAGAGGTCCAACCCTGAATAGTTGGGGCCAAAATGGACACAATATTCAAGCTTGATACAGGTCTGAATTTGGATTGTAATTAATTATTTGACATATTACAGGTTTCTGAATAAATGTCATCAAAGAACTTGAAATTAGTTATATGAATTGAATTTATATTCAATTAAAGATTTCTTGCTGTTGTGCAATACACTGTGCTGTTGCGCAATACTTAGTGAATCTGTTGTCAGACTATAAACAAATAAAGTTCAATTATTTCTCAATGTCATATTAGAAATTTATGAAAATCAAAAGGGAGCTAACATCAATAGATATAAACAATTCACCAAACTTTCATGAGAATTGCTGACAGTATTTTTGAGTTATTGTCCGAAAACTGGAAAATCCCCCTTTTTTAATGAATAAAACCCCATAACTCAGAAATGTAAAATGTAAAATTTATAAAATCCTAAAGGTAGCTTACATCAATAGATATAAACAATTCACCAAAGTTTCATAAGAACTGCTGAAAGCATTTTTGAGTTTTTGTCCAAAAACTAAAAAATCCCCCCCTTTTTTTTTAATAAAACCCTGTTACTCGGAAACGTAAAATCTAAAATTTATGAAAATCAAAAGGGAGCTCATGTCAATAGATATAAACAATTCACCACAATTTCTTGCAAGTTGGTGTAAGCATTCTTGAGTTATTGTCCGAAAACTGGAAAATCCCCCTTTTATTAATGAATAAAACCCCATAACTCAAAAACGTAAAATCTAAAATTTATAAAAAACGAAAGGGAGCTCACATCAATAGATATAAACAATTCACCAAAGTTTTATGCAAATTGGTTAAAGCGTTTTTGAGTTAATGTCCGACATGTTGACGACGGACGGACGGACAGACGGACAACGGTATACCATAATACGTCCCGTAAACGGGCGTATAAAAACTGGAGGACATGGGTGGATCGTTTTCAATTTTAATATTTACAGACAGTTAAGACGCCATTTCTTAAAAATTTAAGAATATGATTGTACAAAAAATATGTTTGGACCCCCTTTTATTAAATATGAATAATCCAAGTCATGCGTGTATACCAGTCAATTAAAATATTCACAAACGTTTCTATTCTTTAAACTAATTCATATAAATGAATTTGCGGTTAGGCAGATAGGGTCAAGCTCATTTTGTCTATTTCTTTTTATTTTAGCTGTAGCGTGTTATATATTAACTGTATTAAAACACTTTTTAAAAATAGATATTTACGAACTTATTATCCCGATTTTAGTTGTCCAGTTTCAATAATGTAATCAATGACATATATGTATTTATTACATATATACATAAATTTAAAATACTTGAAAGTAAATATCCTTTTTTAAATCTCGATAAACTTTGCACATTTCAACAGTAAAAAAATCTATGTCTTCATTTGTCTTCATTATTTTGTTAAACATCATGTAAAACCTGATCGCTTCGTCGGTATTACCTGTTTTACTCGGGATCCGCTTTCAATCGGAAAATACTTTTAGATCAGTTTAAAACGAACGGTAAAAAGCAAAAATATGCAAAAATAAATACAATTTTCCATGTTTAACTGCTGTAGTGTAAACAATTCTCGTCCGTTTTTCAAGTTTTTAGCATCATTCGATTTCTTTTTGAAGGTAGAAGTTATATATGATACAGCGCCACCTTGTTAATTAATAAACTAGGATTTCACACAAGTGCTTTATAATTACCGTTCTCGATAAAATCACGTGACTGATAAGAAATTCCAGATGCTATTTTACAACCGCGGTATCACAGATAGTAACCAAAGGGGTCTTGCCGCTGAGACTATAATTGGATAAAATCATATGACTTTAGTACAGAGCTCTGCAGGCCATAAATACATGCTAATTAGTCGTTGTTATTCCTCTCAATATTACTTCCATGTTTAAAATAAATGCTGAAAATAATATATATTAAGTAATGTGATATGTATGTGACCAGTTATTTAGGGGATTAAGATAAACAAACCCAGCATGATACATGGTCTGGGGTAATTGGCATTGACATGATGTCTGATAAGACCACAGCTACAAAGTAGCTGGAAATTCGGGCTTATGTCTTAGAGTGTATATAGTTCCTTTGATTATTATCACAATCAATTTATGTGTCAAGTCAATGAACCATGACTGATGGTACAAGGCAGAACAAATCCATGGAAATGACATGTGCCAATAGTGAATACATATATGCATACCAAATATCATTGACCTACCACTAGTATTTGCCCATAAACTGACCTAATCACAAGCTAATACATGTAAACTAAGCAAAAGTTTTCAAAGTCAATAGACCACGACTGAGGGGGTGAGACCAAAATTTCTCCATTGAAATGAGATGTGCCAATGCTAATACAACTGAATACCAAATATCATTGACCTACCACAAACTAATACATGTAAACTGAGCAAAAGTTTCAGTCAATAGACCATGACTGAGCGAGCGGGGCCACATAATCAACATAAAAATGAGATGTGCTAATGATTATATAACTATACAAAATATCATTGACCTACTGCTAGTGGTTTGTTCCCCATAAACTGACCTAATCACAAACTAATACATGTAAACTATGCAAAAATTTCAAAGTCAATAGACCATGATTGAAGGGGCAGGGCCAAATAATTTCCATGGAAATGACAGCTGCCTATGCTAATACAACTGCATACCAAATATGTAATTTTTATCATCAGAGATTTACAGATTTGCAAGTTCCAAGGATTAAAACATATTAAACAAAATACTGTAAATTCAGAAATTATTGCATGCATTTATTATGCGATTTTGTCATTTTAGACTAAAATGCGATTTTTTAATTTTTGCGATATTGTGAAAAATCCTGTTTAATTCATATAAAAAAATTCAAAATGCGAGTTTAAATTATTGCGATTATAACCCTGTCCTATTTTTCGCAATAATAAAGACATCGCAATAATTTCTGAATTTACAGTAATATTATCTTCTTTTCAAAAGCAGTTAATTTGTATGTTATTAACTTAAATATTTAGTGTCACTGATGAGTCTTTTGTAAACAAAATACTTGTCTGGCGTACACGATTTTAAGCCTGGTATCTATAATGAGTTGACAGTTTTTTGTAACTTATCAGCTTTAGTATTTATTAATTGAAAGGAAACAGGTGTTGTCATTCATGTAGAGATCAACGGTAACCAAAGGAGGTTCTGTGTGTTTATTTACATTGGTAGTTAGATATGACTCTGGACAACAAATCATGCGATAAGAGAAGCTTCAGTTACCTCAACACACGAAGGCATCACAGAAACCCCACATAGTAGTTATCACTTACTTGACAAAATGAGCTGGAATATTTTCATAAATAAAATAAATTGCTTCGCCGAGCGCACCTGGATATGACCGCAGAGGTCCAACCCTGAACAGTTTGAGCAAAAATGGACACAATATTCGTGCTTGATACAGGTCTGAATTTGGATTGTAATTAAATATTTGACACATAATAGGTTTCTGACACACAATAACTATAGTCAAAGAACTTAGAATTGGTTATATGATTTGAATTTATATTCAAGTTTTTGCTTTTGTGCAATACACTATTCTGTTGCAAACTGCCCCCCCCCCCCCTAAAAAATTTCTTTTTAATTTCTGAAATGAGAATACAACATTTCTTTATACATAATTTAAAAGCAGTGTAAGGGAGGTAATCCAATCATAACATTGTACTTGTTTTTAATTGTCCATTAACCAGGAAACCCTTGTTTTTTCCCCTTTTTTGCCCTTTAAAATTCCTGAACGGTTTGAGCCATAACCCCACAAAGCCAATCCTAACAATCCCTTTGTGGTATGGAAACTTGTGGTATAATTTCAGAGAGATCCATACTCCGTTCCACAAGTAATTGTCTGGAAACTAGAATAAACTGCTTCGCTGAGCGCAGCTGGATACGACCGCAGAGGTCCAACCCTGAACAGTTGGGGCAAAAATGGACACAATACTCAAGCTTGATACAGGTCTGAATTTGGATTGTATTAAATATTTGACATACTATAGGTTTCTGAATAAATGCAGTCAAAGAACTTGAAATTGGTTATATGAATTGAATTTATATTCAATTAAAGATTTCTTGCTGTTGTACAATACACTGTGCTGTTGCGCAATACTTAGTAAATCTGTTGTTAGACTATAAACAATTAAAGTTCAATTTATTCTCAATGTCATATTAGAAATTTATGAAAATGTAAAGGGAGCTTAAATCAATAGATATAAACAATTCACCAAAGTTTCATGAGAATTGCTGACAGCATTTTTGAGTTATTGTCCGAAAACTGGAAAATCCCCCCTTTTTTAATGAATAAAACCCCATAACTCAGAAATGTAAAATGTAAAATTTATAAAATTCTAAACGGAGCTTACATCAATAGATATAAACAATTCACCAAAGTTTCATGAGAACTGCTGAAAGCATTTTTGATTTTTGTCTGAAAACTGGAAAATCCCCCTTTTTTTATGAATAAAACCCTGTTACTCGGAAACGTAAAATCTAAAATACATAAAAATCCAAAGGGAGCTCATCTCAATAGATATAAACAGTTCACCAATATTTCTTGCAAGTTGGTGAAAGCATTCTTGAGTTATTGTCCGAAAACTGGAAAATCCCCCTTTTTTTTAATGAATAAAAAGTAAAATCACAAAAATACTGAACTCCGAGGAAAATTCAATCGGAAAGTCCCTAATCACATGGCAAAATCAAATGACAAAACACATCAAACGAATGGACAACAACTGTCATATTCCTGACTTGGTACAGGCATTTTCAAATGTAGAAAATGGTGGATTGAACCTGGTTTTATAGCGCTAAACCTCTCACTTGTACGACAGTCTCATCAAATTCCGTTATATTTACAACGATGCGTGAACAAAACAGACATTATGAATAAAATAGTCAAAATATGGGTACAGAAGTCATCACTGTGTTACAATATCAAAACAAACAATTATTTACAAAAAAGCACAAAAGCATCTATCAAATTAATAAAATGCTCCGCAGGGCGCAGCTTGATACGACCGCAGAGGTCGAACCCTGAACAGTTGGGGCAAGTATGGACACAACATTCAAGCTTGATACAGCTTTGCATTTGGATTGTGATTAAATATTTGACACAGCATAGGTTTTTGACACAGAATGAATGTGGTCTAAGAACTTAAAAATTTTAAATTGGACATTCACCTATTATGGTCCAATATCCAAAATCTAAATACATGGTTAGATTCAGCATATCAAAGAACCCCATATATTCAATTTTTGTTGAAATCAAACAAAGTTTAATTTGGACCCCGATTTGGACCAACTTGAAAACTGGGTCCATAATCAAAAATTTAAATACATGTTTAGATTCAGCATATCAAAGAACCCTAAGAATTCAATTTTTGTTAAAATCAAACTAAGTTTAATTTTGGACCCTTTGGAACTTAATGTAGACCAATTTGAAAACGGAACCAAAAATTAAGAATTTAAATACACGGTTAGATTCGGCATATCAAAGAACCCCAATAATTCAATTTTTGATGAAATCAAACAAAGTTTAATTTTGGACCCTTTGGACCTCAATGTGGACCAATTTAAAAACGGGGCCCAAAATCCAAAAACTAAATACACGGTTAGATTCAGCATATTAAAGAACCCCAAGAATTCAAGAATAAAACCCCATTGAAATTGGTCAAGAAATAAGCAATTTATACGAAGTATCTTCTTTTGCACAATACTGTGCAATTAAATATTTCTTGCTATTGTGCAATACTGTACAATTGACAATTTCTTGCTATTGCGCAATATTGTGCTATTGGATATTTCTTGCTATTGCGCAATACTGTGCAATTGAAGATTTCTTGCTATTGCGCAATACTGTGCAATTGAAGATTTCTTGCTATTGTGCAATACTGTGCAATTGAAAATTTCTTGCTATTGCACAATACTTATTATATAATAATTTACACATCCTGTTTGGTGTGTATCTCCTACCATATCATTATTATTTGCTTTTAAATATAAATCAGAAATAACCAACTTAAAATGGAAAATTTTAAAAGAAAAAAAAAAGGAAAAAAAAAAAATCCCCCCCCCACATTTTTTGAACCCCCTTATGATTCATCACCCCCAAACTTAATCCCAGCCTTCCCTTTGTGGTATGGTACCTTGCAGTACAATTTCAGAGAGATCCATACACTTGAACACAAGTTATTGTCTTGAGACTAGAAAAATGTGTTTTTTGGCCCCTTTTTGGCCCCAAATTCCTAAACGTTTAGGGCAATTACCCCCAAACTCAAACCCAGCTTTCCCTTTGTGATATGGAACCTTGTAGTACAATTTCATAAAGATCCATACACTTACTCACAAGTTATTGTCCTGAAACTACAAAAATGCTTGTTTTTTGCCCCTTTTTGGCCCCTCATTTCTAAAATATTGAGGCAATTACCCCCATCATCAATCCCAGCCTTCCCTTTGTGGTATGGTACCTTGCAGTACAATTTCAGAGAGATCCATAGAGTTGAACACAAGTTATTGTCTGGAAACTAGAAAAATGCTTATTTTTGGCCCCCAATTCCTAAACATTTCGGCATTTACCCCCAAACTCAATTCCAGCTTTCCCTTTGTGATATGGAACCTTGTAGTACAATTTCAGAAAGATCTATACACTTACACACAAGTTATTGTCATGAAACTAGAAAAATGCTTGTTTTTTGCCCCTTTTTTGGCCCCTAATTCCTAAAGCTTTGAGGCAATTACCCCCAAAATCAATCCCAGCATTCCTTTTGTGATATAGAACCTTGTGGTACAATGTCAGAGAGATCCATACACTAACACACAAGTTATGTCTGGAAGTAACAAAAATGCTTATTTTTGGCCCCTTTTTGGCCCCTAATTCCTTTACCGTTGGTACCATAACCCCCAAAATCAATCCCAACCTTCCTTTTGTGGTATTGAACCTTGTGGTAAAATTTCATAGAGATCCATTCATTTAAACTAAAGTTAGAGTGCGAAAACCAATGTGTCTTCGGACGACGCCGGACGACGCCAGACGACGACGACGACGAAGACGACGCCAACGTCATACCAATATACGACCACCAAAAATTTTTTTGCGGTCGTATAAAAATCTAAATACATGGTAAGATTCAGCATATCAAAGAACCCCATATATTCAATTTTTGTTGAAATCAAACAAAGTTTAATTTTGGACCCCAATTTGGACCAACTTGAAAACTGGGCCAAAAATCTAAAATCTAAATGCATGTTTAGATTCAGCATATCAAAGAACCCCATATATTCAATTTTTGTTGAAATCAAACAAAGTTTAATTTTGGACCCCAACTTGGACCACCTTGAAAACTGGTCCCATAATCAAAAATCTAAACACATGTTTAGATTCAGCATATCAAAGAACCCCAAAATTCAATTTTTGTTAAAATCAAACTAAGTTTAATTTTGGACCCTTTGGACCTTAATGTAGACCAATTTAAAAAACGGGACCCAAAATTAAAAATCTAAATACACGGTTAGATTTGGCATATCAAAGAACCCCAATAATTAAATTTTTGATGAAATCAAACAAAGTTTAATTTTGGACCCTTTTGACCTCAATATGAACCAATTTGATAGCGGGCCCACAAATAAAAAATCTAAATACATGGTAAGATTCAGCATATCAAAGAACCCCATATATTCAATTTTTGTTGAAATCAAACAAAGTTTATTTTTGGACCCCAATTTTGACCAACTTGAAAACTGGGCCAAAAATCTAAAATCTAAATACATGTTTAGATTCAGCATATCAAAGAACCCCATATATTCAATTTTTGTTGAAATCAAACAAAGTTTAATTTTGGACCCCAACTTGGACCAACTTGAAAACTGGGCCCATAATCAAAAATCTAAACACATGTTTAGATTCAGCATATCAAAGAACCCCAAGAATTCAATTTTTGTTAAAATCAAACTAAGTTTAATTTTGGACCCTCTGGACCTTAATGTAGACCAATTTAAAAACGGGACCCAAAATTAAAAATCTAAATACACGGTTAGATTTGGCATATCAAAGAACCCCAATAATTCAATTTTTGATGAAATCAAACAAAGTTTAATTTTGGACCCTTTTGACCTCAATATGAACCAATTTGATAGCGGGTCCACAAATAAAAAATCTAAATACATGGTTAGATTCAGCATATCAAAGAACCCCAAGAATTCAATTTTTGATGAAATCAAACAAAGTTTAATTTTGGACCCTTTTGACCTCAATGTGGACAAAGTTGATAACGGGGCCCAAAAATCAAAAATCTAAATACATGGTTAGATTCAGCATATCAAAGAACCCCATATATTCAATTTTTGTTGAAATCAAACAAAGTTTAATTTTGGACCCCGATTTGGACCAACTTGAAAACTGGGCCCATAATCAAAAATCTAAATACATGTTTAGATTCAGCATATCAAAGAACCCTAAAAATTAAATTTTTGTTAAAATCAAACTAAGTTTAATTTTGGACCCTTTTGACCTTAATGTAGACCAATTTGAAAACGGAACCAAAAATTAAGAATCTAAATACACGGTTAGATTCGGCATATCAAAGAACCCCAATAATTCAATTTTTGATGAAATCAAACAAAGTTAAATTTTGGACCCTTTGGACCTCAATGTGGACCAATTTAAAAACGGGGCCCAAAATCCAAAAACTTAATACTTGGTTAGATTCAGCATATTAAAGAACCCCAAGAATTCAAGAATAAACCCCATTGAAATTGATCAAGAAATAAGCAATTTATACGAAGTATCTTTTTTTGCACAATACTGTGCAATTGAATATTTCTTGCTATTGTGCAATACTGTACAATTGACAATTTCTTGCTATTGCGCAATATTGTGCTATTGGATATTTCTTGCTATTGCGCAATACTGTGCAATTGAAGATTTCTTGCTATTGCGCAATACTGTGCAATTGAAGATTTCTTGCAATTGTGCAATACTGTGCAATTGAAAATTTCTTGCTATTGCACAATACTTATTATATAATAATTTACACATCCTGTTTGGTGTGTATCTCCTACCATATCATTATTATTTGCTTTTAAATATTAATCAGAAATAACCAACTTAAAATGGAAAATTTTTAAAAGAAAAAAAAAAGGAAAAAAAGAAAAAAAAAAGAAAAAAAAAAATCCCCCCCCCCAAATTTTTTGAACCCCCTTATGATTCATCACCCCCAAACTCAATACCAGCCTTCCCTTTGTGGTATGGTACCTTGCAGTACAATTTCAGAGAGATCCATACACTTGAACACAAGTTATTGTCTGGAAACTAGAAAAATGCTTATTTTTGGCCCCTTTTTTGGCCCCCTATTCCTAAACGTTTCGGGCAATTACCCACAAACTCAATTCCAGCTTTCCCTTTGTGATATGGAACCTTGTAGTACAATTTCAGAAATATCCAAACACTTACACACAAGTTATTGTCATGAAACTAGAAAAATGCTTGTTTTTTGCCCCTTTTTTGGCCCCTAATTCCTAAAATTTTGAGGCAATTACCCCCAAAATCAATTACAGCCTTCCCTTTGTGATATGGAACCTTGTGGTACAATGTCAGAGAGATCCATACACTTACACACAAGTTATTGTCTGGAAGTTACAAAAATGCTTATTTTTGGCCCCTAATTCCTTAACTGTTGGTACCATAACCCCCAAAATCAATCCCAACCTTCCTTTCGTGGTATTGAACCTTATGGTAAAATTTCATGGAGATCCATTCACTTAAACTAAAGTTAGAGTGCGAAAACCAATGTGTCTTCGGACGACGCCGGACGACGACGACGACGACGACGACGACGACGCCAACGTCATACCAATATATGACCAAAAAATTTTCAATTTTTGCGGTCGTATAAAAACCACATTCATTGCTTCGCGTGTCTGACGTCAGAAAATGTAAACGTCACATTAGAAGAAATTTTGTCATTCAATGTTTATTCAAAACAATTTTATAATTTCACATGGGGAATGTTGGTATACAGGGTTAAACAAGAGTGCACACGCTGAAATGTCTCGCCTTTACTAATCATTGATATTATGTTGATAGTCCTAAATATAAAGCTTTATTACAACTGTCACATAAACTTAACATTAACCAAGTAAACTAAACATTGACCAATGAACCATGAAAATGAGGTCAAGGTCAGATGAACCATGCTAGGCAGGCATGTACAGCTAACAATTCTTCCATACAACAAATATGGTTGACCTATTGCTTATAGTTTAAGAAAAACAGACCAAAACACAAAAACTTAACACTGAGCAATGAACCTTGAAAATGAGGTCAAGGTCAAATAAAACCTGCGTGACTGACATATAGATCATAAAATATTTCCATACACCAAATGTAGTTGAACTATTGCATATAGTATTAGAAAAAAGATCAAATCTCAAAAACTTAATTTTGATCACTGAACCATGAAAATGAGGTCAAGGTCAGATGACACCTGCCAGCTAGACATGTACACCTTACAATCCTTCCATACACCAAATATAGTAGACCTATTGCATGCAGTATTAGAAAAAAAGACCAAAACTCAAAAACTTAACTTTGACCACTGAACCATGAAAATGAGGTCAAGGTCAGATGACACCAGCCAGCTAGACATGTACACCTTACAATCCTTCCATACACCAAGTATTGTAGACCTATTGCATACAGTATAAGAAAAACAGACCAAAACACAAAAACTCAACTATAACCACTGAACCATGAAAATGAGGTCAAGGTCAGATGACACCTGCCAGCTAGACATGTACACCTTACAACCCTTCCATAAACCAAATATTGTAGACCTATTGCATACAGTATAAGAAAAACAGACCAAAACACAATAAAATGCTCCGCTGGGGCGCAGCTTGATACGACCGCAGAGGTCGAACCCTGAACAGTTGGGGCAAGTATGGACACAACATTCAAGCTTGATACAGTACTGAATTTGGATTGTAATTAAATATTTGACACAGCATAGGTTTCTGACACAGAATAAATTTGGTCTAAGAACTTAAATTTTTTTAATTTATCTATTCAAACCATATCATTATTATTTGCTTTTATATATAAATCAGAAATAACCAATTTAAAATGGAAAATTTTAAAGAAAAAAAAATCCCCCCCCAAAAAAATTTTTTGAACCCCCTTATGATTCATCACCCCCAAACTCAATCCCAGCCTTCCCTTTGTGGTATGGTACCTTGCAGTACACATACATGTGATGGACTGTGAAACTAAAATCAGGAGTTTTGGAGATTATGACTCAGATCAGGATGTTTTTAATCGACATAAATTCTGTCGTAAATGTAACCGTGTGCTGTAGAAATTGTCTGTTAAAGTGTGTTTTCTTCAACTTTCCATCCGAATGTATTATGTTTATAGTACCTTTGTACTTATAAATTTTCTCTATCTTTTTAAACTTTCAACTTGTTCAATCTAACATTCTTCTTTTTCAGTATGTTCTTTAAATTTTTTAGGTCATATCTTTTTTACCATTATTCATTGCAATCAGAACATTTGCTTATCTATCTGCAAGTAGATCTTTTAATTTTATCTTTATGCTAGTAGATTTTTTTTTATTTTATCTTTATATGCAAGTAGATTTTTAATGCATGTTAAGTAACACATTCCAACTGTCATCATGGGTCATAGTTATAATATAAATTTCAATTTAAGCCTTGAAAGGAAGTCTAGAACCCTCAAATAATTTCAAATTATTATTTTTTTATTTGTCCTAAAAAATTTAAAATCATTTAATTACCATCCTTTTATGATTATTTGTTCAATTTATATTTTATTTATATTCTTTTAAAAATTTACATTATTTAAAGGAAAGTAACTTAAAACAGGATAAATCAAGGGAAGTAACCCAACATTCATTTTAAATAAACAAAGTTTTATTACACAACGGCAGTTAGCCTGAGGTAAAAATCGTTTATTACCAGTATGTTTGACACCCAAGGTGACAAGTGAGGCCATATAATTATGCATGTTAATTGATTTACAGGTAAAATATAACTTCAGTAATGTCAGTTACACCAGATATGTTGGGCTGAAATTTTTCATTCATGAAATATTTCATACACGGGATTTTTTTGTCTTCAACGGGAGGTCGGGAGGAGACCCCTGAAAACGGGATTATTGTACTCCCGTCGGGAGGTTCACATGTATGAACTGTACAATTTCAGAGAGATCCATACACTTGAACACAAGTTATTGTCTGGAAACAAGAAAAATGCTTGTTTTTTGGCCCCAAATTCCTAAACATTTAGGGCAATTACCCCCAAACTCAAACCCAGCTTTCCCTTTGTGATATGGAACCTTGCAGTACAATTTCATAAAGATCCATACACTTACACACAAGTTATTGTCCTGAAACTAGAAAAATGCTTGTTTTTTGCCCCTTTTTGGCCCCCAATTCCTAAAATTTGGAGGCAATTAACCCCAAAATCAATCCCAGCCTTCCCTTTGTGGTTTGGTACCTTGCAGTACAATTTCAGAGAGATCCATACACTTGAACACAAGTTGAAACTAGAAAAATGCTTATTTTTGGCCCCTTATTCCTAAATGTTGTGGGCAATTACCCCCAAAATCAATTCCAGCTTTCCCTTTGTGATATGGAACCTTGTAGTACAATTTCATAAAGATCCATACACTTACACACAAGTTATTGTCATGAAACAAAAAAAATGCTTGTTTTTTGCCCCTTTTTGGCCCCCAATTCCTAAAATTTGGAGGCAATTACCCCCAAAATCAATCCCAGCATTCCCTTTGTGATATGGAACCTTGTGGTACAATGTCAGAGAGATCCATACACTCACACACAAGTTATTGTCATGAAACTAGAAAAATGCTTGTTTTTTTCCCCTTTTTGGCCCCCAATTCCTAAAATTTGGAGGCAATTACCCCCAAAATCAATCCCAGCATTCCCTTTGTGATATGGAACCTTGTGGTACAATGTCAGAGAGATCCATACACTAACACACAAGTTATGTCTGGAAGTTACAAAAATGCTTATTTTTGGCCCCTAATTCCTTAACTGTTGGTACCATAACCCCCAAAATCAATCCCCACCTTCCTTTTGTGGTATTGCACCTTATGGTAAAATTTCATAGAGATCCATTCACTTAAACTAAAGTTAGAGTGCGAAAACTAATGTGTCTTCGGACGACGACGACGCCAACGTCATACCAATATACGACCACATTTTTTTGCGGTCGTATAAAAACTGAACTATAACCACTGAACCATGAAAATGAGGTCAAGGTCAGATGACACCTGCCAGCTAGACATGTACACCTTACAATCCTTCCATACACCAAATATAGTAGACCTATTGCATACAGTATAAGAAAAACAGACCAAAACACAAAAACTCAACTATAACCACTGAACCATGAAAATGAGGTCAAGGTCAGATGACACCTGCCAGGTGGACATGTACACCTTACAGTTCTTCCATACACCGAATATACTAGACCTATTGCTTATAGTATCTTGAGATATGGACTTGACCACGAAAACTTAACCTTGTTCACTGATCCATGAAATGAGGTCGAGGTCAAGTGAAAACTGTCTGACGGGCATGAGGACCTTGCAAGGTACGCACATACCAAATATAGTTATCCAATTACTTATAAGAGAGAATTTAACATTACAAAAAATCTTAACTTTTTTTTCAAGTAGTCACTGAACCATGAAAATGAGGTCAAGGACATTGGACATGTGACTGACGGAAACTTCGTAACATGAGGCATCCATATACAAAGTATGAAGCATCCAGGTCTTCCACCCTCTAAAATATAAAGCTTTCAAGAAGTTAGCTAATGCCGCCGCCGCCGGTTCACTATCCCTATGTCGAGCTTTCTGCGACAAAAGTCGCAGGCTCGACAAAAATCAAAAGTTATGTTAGAACTAATTTCAGAAATAGACAAGAGATTTAAAATTGTCCAGAAGTTCTTTAGTAATACCACTACGCGAATAAAATAAATTTGTCGTTCAAAGTATTTTCAAATTTATAATAGAAGAATAACATAATGACATATAATAGAACAATAACATAATGACGGGATCTTTTAAAGTACAGAGTCACGTTATAAGAACCACAGAAACACAAAAAGTCGCATATACAAAACACACAATCAAAAATGAAAGATAATACAAACACATTGACGGGATGTATAAGTACCTAGCCACGTCAAATGGATATCACAGAAAACAAACCAAACAGTTAAAGTAATATTAATAATAGAACAAAGACAAATGAAAGAACAATATAACACGTTGTTAAGATGACAAACAACGTCAGTATGCAGAATCTATACTTCAAGACCATCATGTATTATTTGTAAAGTTGATACGGAATATTTATCAACAAGGTCTTGGTACCTTCCGATGAACTTTTTTAGAAAAAGGACGAGACGTTCTTTGACATACCCCTGGTTCATCAACTTTCTGCTCAGACACTGGTGACGTTTTACAAAGTCTGAGTAGGAGCTGCAAGCTCTTGAATATCGAATAAGTTGGGAAATGTATATCCCATATGCAGGTGAAGTTGGTATCACTACAAAAGTCAAAAAGTCTGAAAAGACCAGTTTTTGTCTGAATTTGCATGAATTTTTACTCGACATTCTTAATTTGTCTGAATAATTTTTAAAAATTCTTGACATAGTATGAATTTGTCTAATAAGGTTCTTGATTTTTCTTGACAAGTGCCTTGACAGTATGAACATTGTCTTAAAATTTCTCGACACTTCCTGTATCATCTGATAAGAGTCTGGATTAGTCTCGACCAATTCTTGACTGTCTTAAATTTGTCTCGATCTGTCTTGACATATTCTTGACATTCTTAATAATGTCTGAATATGTCTCGACATATTCTTGACATTCTAAATAATGTCTCGACACATTCTTGACAGTCTTAAATATGTCTTGACACTATCTCAACAGTATAAATTTCGCCTGAAATGTGAACAGACTTATTCTGCACTGTTTATGACATTCAATTGCTGTTATATACTCCTTTTTATTATGGCTAAACTAAACTTTGAAGAATCAAGGATTAATTTGGTAAAGTAAGATACCCTTTTGGTGCAACTAAGTTGGAATACCCTGAATAATCCCCCATGTAGTTTAATTTTGATTTATTTTTATTAAACATTTAAGTTATTGTTTTCACTTGGAATATAAGTCGAAGGTATTGACAAACAGCATTTAGATTTTTGCCATTCGCAAAACTGCCCGTCAAATTTGCTTTACTAAAATAGGTGTCTTGTATCTCTTTTGGACCCCACAATTCATCTTTTGGGTTTGTGTGGCTAAAAAAAAAGGGGGGGGGGGCTTTCGTTTAGGTCAAAGAATTTGTTCCCATCTTGATTCAAAAACCTTATTCATTTTTTAGAACCCAAAAACATTTTTTATTCAAATTTGAGTGTTGAATTTTATAATTTTTTATCAAAAATAAATATTTGTGATAACTCCTTCCTGAAAAGAAAAAAATGTTTAGATCTATATTATGCATGTCTGTTTGAGAACCATTTCATAAGACCGATGATTTCTATAAATCATTGATGGGACCCATTATAAATACATTTTTTTTATTATTCCTGGAGTAGATAATAATTTTCTTTTAATCTTTGGGAATTATTCAATTTGTTTTTTTGTTAAAATAATTAACTTCATAATTTTGATGAAGAAAATCCATTTCAATTCAATTTTTTTTCATCAAAATGATGATTTTCATTTTCATCTATCAACAAACTTTTTAAATTGTAGTGGCATGGTCGGTCAACTGATAAGTTGTATGGCTGATTACAGGTAAAGCAATAACTTCTATTTGACAGTTGCGTGTACTCTGGGGTGTGGAATACCTTAATTTTATGGGGAACATCCTGTCCATGTGTAATACTTAATATATTCCAACAGATGACATTACACAAATTTTTCTTCTGTTAAATGAATGATTTGTATATCATCATAATTTGCTATTTATATAAACCACATTTTGGTATAATAATTATTTACCATATCAACATTGAATATTATGAATGTAGAATGAAATATGTCTACAGTATGATTGGTTTGAATCATTTAATTTATAAGATTTAGGAATCAAAATTTGTAATTATTTAAAAACCCACATTGAAATTCTTAATTGTTTAATATCAACACACCCACATTTGAATTATTTTATACTTTAGATTTCATAGCCATATTTGCATTTGTAAAAATATTTATATACCCAAATTTTCAATTATTTTACATGCCCAACTTTTATTTTTGTTGTAAAGAAGTGTAACTTGAAACAACAGTATATCATATAAAAAGAAATAAAGATTAAAGTTATATCATGAATATTGGTCATGATTTGTAAAACTCAGAACTGTCAAGTAAATTTAAGACACAATTCAAAATGTTCAGAATATGTCAAGCCATACTGAGAAAAATTAAGAATGTCGAGAATATGTCGAGAAATTTCAAGACAGTATTCAAATGTCAAGAATTTGTCAAGAAATTTTAAGACCATATTCAGAATGTCGAGAATATGTCGAGTAAATTTCATACAAATTTAATATAAATGAGAATTTGTCAAGAAAAATTAAGACACAAGTCATACTTTTGGAGAATGTCGAGTAAAAGTTCATGCAAATTAAGACAAAAACTGGTCTTTTCAGACTTTTAGACTTTTGTAGTGTATATTGCTACTAAGGTGGGGGAAATTTATAATTTTAAAATTAAAATCGTCTCGTTTGTCATAGATTCTGGTACTGAGATGACTGTGCATGTCAAATTCGAGATATAAGTCTAATAAAATGCTCCGCTGGGCGCAGCTTGATACGACCGCAGAGGTCGAACCCTGAACAGTTGGGGCAAGTATGGACACAACATTCAAGCTTGATACAGCTTTGCATTTGGATTGTAATTAAATATTTGACACAGCATAGGTTTCTGACACAGAATGAATGTGGTCTAAGAACTTAAAAATTTTAAATTGGACATCCACCTATTATGGTCCAATATCCAAAATCTAAATACATGGTTAGATTCAGCATATCAAAGAACCCCAAGAATTCAATTTTTGATGAAATCAGACAAACTTTAATTTTGGACCCTTTTGACCTCAATGTGGACAAAGTTGATAACGGGGCCCAAAAATCAAAATACATGGTTAGATTCAGCATATCAAAGAACCCCATATATTCAATTTGTGTTGAAATCAAACAAAGTTTAATTTTGGACCCCGATTTGGACAAACTTGAAAACTGGGCCCATAATCAAAAATCTAAATACATGTTTAGATTCAGCATATCAAAGAACCCTAAGAATTCAATTTTTGTTAAAATCAAACTAAGTTTAATTTTGGACCCTTTGGACCTTAATGTAGACCAATTTGAAAATGGAACCAAAAATCAAAAATCTAAATACATGGTTAGATTCAGCATACTAAAGAACCCCATATATTCAATTTTTGTTGAAATCAAACAAAGTTTAATTTTGGACCCCGATTTGGACCAACTTGAAAACTGGGCCCATAATCAAAAATCTAAATACATGTTTAGATTTAGCATATCAAAGAACCCAAGAATTCAATTTTTATTAAAATCAAACTAAGTTTAATTTTGGACCCTTTGGACCTTAATGTAGACCAATTTGAAAACGGAACCAAAAATTAAGAATCTAAATACACGGTTAGATTCGGCATATCAAAGAACCCCAATAATTCAATTTTTGATGAAATCAAACAAAGTTTAATTTTGGACCCTTTGGACCTCAATGTGGACCAATTTAAAAACGAGGCCCAAAATCCAAAAACTAAATACACTGTAAGATTCAGCATATTAAAGAACCCCAAGAATTCAAGAATAAAACCCCATTGAAATTGGTCAAGAAATAAGCAATTTAAATGAAGTATCTTCTTTTGCACAATACTGTGCAATTAAATATTTTTTGCTATTGCGCAATACTGTACAATTGACAATTTCTTGCTATTGCGCAATATTGTGCTATTGGATATTTCTTGCTATTGCGCAATACTGTGCAATTGAAGATTTCTTGCTATTGCGCAATACTGTGCAATTGAAGATTTCTTGCTATTGTGCAATACTGTGCAATTGAAAATTTCTTGCTATTGCACAATACTTTTTATATAATAATTAACACATCCTGTTTGGTGTGTATCTCCTACCATATCATTATTACTTGCTTTTAAATATAAATCAGAAATAACCAACTTAAAATGGAAAATTTTAAAAGAAATAAAAAGGAAAAAAAAAAAAATCCCCCCCCCCCCAAATTTTTTGAACCCCCTTATGATTCATCACCCCCAAACTCAATCCCAGCCTTCCCTTTGTGGTCTGGTACCTTGCAGTACAATTTCAGAGAGATCCATACACTTGAACACAAGTTATTGTCTGGAAACTAGAAAAATGTGTTTTTTGGCCCCTTTTTGGCCCCAAATTCCTAAACGTTTAGGGCAATTATCCCCAAACTCAAACCCAGCTTTCCATTTGTGATATGGAACCTTGTAGTACAATTTCAGAAAGATCCATACACTTACACACAAGTTATTGTCCTGAAACTAGAAAAATGCTTGTTTTTTGCCCCTTTTTTGGCCCCTAATTCCTAAATTTTGAGGCAATTACCCCCAAAATCAATCCCAGCATTCCTTTTGTGATATGGAACATTGTGGTACAATGTCAGAGAGATCCATACACTAGCACACAAGTTATGTCTGGAAGTTACAAAAATGCTTATTTTTGGCCTCTTTTTGGCCCCTAATTCCTTTACTGTTGGTACCATAAGCCCCAAAATCAATCCCAACCTTCCTTTTGTGGTATTAAACCTTGTGTAGAGATCCATTCACTTAAACTAAAGTTAGAGTGCGAAAACCAATGTGTCTTTGGACGACGCCGGACGACGCCAGACGACGACGACGACGCCAACGTCATACCATTGCGGTCGTATAAAAATGAGGCGGAGGAAGCCGTGTCTGTTGTTTCTTTAATTTCTAGTTCTGGGGGATATATTAATGGAACCCAATCAGAAAAGTTCGGATTGTTAATGGAAAGAACATCATCAATATATCTAAAAGTGAAATTAAATAATCTGGCTTCTTTGATCTTCTTGTTTTTGACAAGTGTCTGAAGGAACTCCGATTCATATGAAAATAAGAAACCCCACAACTCGGAAACGTAAAATCTAAAATTTATAAAAAAACGAAAGGGAGCTCACATCAATTGATATGAATAATTCACCAAAGTTTTATGCAAATTGGTTAAAGCGTTTTTGAGTTATTGTCTGACATGTTGACGACGGACGGACGGACAACGGTATACCATAATACGTCCCGTAAACGTGCGTATAAAATTGCTTATTTGGGCCCCCTTTTGGCCCCTTATTCCTAAACTGTTAGGACTATAACCCCCCAAATCAATCCCAACCTTCCTTTTGTGGTTATAAACCTTGTGTTTAAATTTCATAGATTTCTATTTTCATTTACTGAAGTTATTGTCCGGAAACCAAATGTCTTCAGACGATGACGACGTGATACCAATATACGACCGCAAAATTTTGAATGTGTAAATCTTTCCTTAAGAGTTTGTCAATATAGTACTTCAATGCTTCTAGTGTTTTATTTTAATGTCTGCATAACCAGTAATTGAAATCTTGCTGCATTTGCAAGCAAGCTTTTGTGCAAAGTATTGGTTTCTTGTTTTTCCGAGTTTCCGAAAGTTCTGCCTGTTAATTGCTGAAGTGATCTGGACCTTTTGTTAAGTGAAGTTACTACAAAAACAAGAGGATTTTATTCTCTCAGTGCAAACATCCAAAGCTTTGTAACAGTTTGATTAAACACAACTATTCCAAAAAAATTAAATTTACTTATAGGCACTGTGACCTTGACCTTTTTACCCACTGGCCTAAAACTCAATGGGGATATTTTTCTTATCAAGCAACGTTTCAAGCTTAAGTTTAATGAAGATACAACATCTGAGAAAAAAATTTTGGCCAAATTTCAGTTGATCAATTGCTGCTGTGACCTTGAACTTTGACTTAGTGACCTCAATATCAACATGGGCTTTCTTCATACCTTATACCATTATCAAACCAAATTTTGTAAAGACATTGCTTATTGTTCAAAAAGATTTTGTCTTAAAATGAGAATGTTGCCATTTGGATGCAATTCATCTAATTTACAGCAGAGTTCATCGTTACTTGTCTAAAAAAATTAAATGACATAATATGAACAAGACACCTTTTTTTCATTGTCTTTATTGAATCACTTTAAATCTTTTACAGCCAAACCTACAAAAGAAATAAAAGACGATTATTACTTATAAAATATGGATAAAATGCATGCTAATTTCACTTTATTTGCAAGTTTTCACAAAGCTGTCCAAACATTTTGAAACATACCTGCCAACTATCCTAATTTGGCAGTATTATCCCTATTTTCATGCCTAAACCCAATCACCCCCAAAAATTTGGTGGTTCCTGATTTTGAACATTTCCAAAAGGAAACGATCATGATCAGCCTTAATTAGCCAATCAAAATCAATATTTTCCTGTGATCACATTTTGATCTCCTGACCAATGGGGCATTATTTACAAGCAGGATCTAACTTTTGGAACTTTCGAGTTGTAGTCCTCTGTATGTCAAAATTGTTAAATTCCTGATCATCACTATCAAGAAGGTTTTTAATGCCACATAAAAAAAGCATGGTTAAATTAAGAGGCCGATTGACAATAATAAAATTCACAATCAAGCCCTAAAAGAAGACAGGTTTTACACCTTGTTGAAACAATTACCCATGTTTGCCTCGAGCTTTACACAACAGGTTAAGACTTCTAATATAATATATGGCCAGTTAAAACTAATTGATATATTTTCATCCCTGCCCACCACTCCGAAATCGTCTTGCCCTGATTTTTTTATTTTAAAAAATGTACGATTTCCAGATTTTTTTCATTTCCGATACCAGTAACCTACGATAATTTTGTTTCATTCAAAACTTCCTGCTTCAAATTTCGGTTTCGTATTTCTTAAATTAACCAAAATGATTAAGTCGACATATTCTTCTGCTCTTTGATGACAACATTATCTTCTGAGAATAGAGATTGATTACAGGAAGGGCATGAAATATATTCGGGTTACGAGTAATGGGTAAGAAAGTATGGGGAAAACCTATGCATCATCCATGTTTCCAAGTAACTATTCTGTTTCAATAATGTTTTCCCGCGTTTTTCAAAGAATTTTCACCTCCATTATGAAAATCTGCCCCTATTCAATATGGCTGCAATAACCGTGAAAGGGCCTATTATATTTGCACCTTGCATACCAATGCATATGCTTCATTTTATGGGCACTACAAACCATAGCTTAAGAGAGCAAAATAGATTTGATGTACATGTAGGTAGTCTAAAAGAGAGCATTTCTCCACGTTTTTGCTATTAACATAGGTTTCTAAAGCGGTAATTACATGTAAAACAGTGGTTGCCAATCTGAAATATTTATTGAAGAATTTGAAAAATTATGTAGAATTCCTTATATATAGATGATATAAAAATATTACCATTGCATATGAAAAACACATTACAAAAGGGTTTGAGAGGAAACAAAATTAATAAAAAATTAAATTCTCCCACCTGACCGATTTTTTTCAAAAATCTGGATGAAAATCTACTAATTAATTTTAGTTGACCTATCCAGCATATGGTGCCATAAAAAACACTGTATGAGTGTATCATTCTATTCAAGCATCATCAGTGTTTTACAATTGGGAATTCAGTTTTGATTCCTAAATATATAATATATAAAACCCTGCCTAATTACCTGGAGGTAAGGACTGTCTCAATTTTTCTGCCTTTTCTCTATCCTGGATGACAAGTGTATACAAATATCGGCTACATCTGACCTTGAATTTTACATTCTCCTTGTTCTTCTTGATTTTAACAGCTGAAAAAATGTAAACCTAACACTACATAAAAAGTTACCATGTGCATGTACATGTATTCTGAAATCTCCAACTGCAAATTTATTTTGAATTTGTAAGAATAAGATTTTATTACAGTAGATTACAGAAGATATAAAGCCTGGATCTATGTGCATCTTCAACAAAATGTTCAAGATCAGCTCATCTTCATCTACTACATCTTTTGGCAAAAACACAATAAAATGCTCCGCTGGAGCGCAGCTTGATACGACCGCAGAGGTCCAACCCTGAACAGTTGGGGCACGTATGGACACAACATTCAAGCTTGATACAGCACTGAATTTGGATTGTAATTAAATATTTGACACAGCATAGGTTTCTGACACAGAATAAATGTGGTCTAAGAACTTAAAAAATTTTAATTTATCTATTCAAACCATATCATTATTATTTGCTTTTATATATAAATCAGAAATAATCAATTTAAAATGGAAAATTTTAAAGAAAAAAAGGAAAAAAAAATCCCCCCCCCCCAAATTTTTTGAACCCCCTTATGATTCATCACCCCCAAACTCAATCCCAGCCTTCCCTTTGTGGTATGGTACCTTGCAGTACAATTTCAGAGAGATCCATACACTTGAACACAAGTTATTGTCTGGAAACTAGAAAAATGCTTATTTTTGGCCCCTTTTTGGCCCCCAATTCCTAAACGTTTCGGGCAATTACCCCCAAACTCAATTCCAGCTTTCCCTTTGTGATATGGAACCTTGTAGTACAATTTCAGAAATATCCAAACACTTACACACAAGTTATTGTCATGAAACTAGAAAAATGCTTGTTTTTTGCCCCTTTTTTGGCCCCTAATTCCTAAAATTTTGAGGCAATTACCCCCAAAGTCAATTACAGCCTTCCCTTTGTGATATGAAACCTTGTGGTACAATGTCAGAGAGATCCATACACTTACACACAAGTTATTGTCTGGAAGTTACAAAAATGCTTATTTTTGGCCCCTAATTCCTTAACTGTTGGTACCATAACCCCCAAAATCAATCCCAACCTTCCTTTTGTGGTATTGAACCTTATAATAAAATTTCATGGAGATCCATTCACTTAAACTAAAGTTAGAGTGCGAAAACCAATGTGTCTTCGGACGACGCCAACGTCATACCAATATACGACCAAAAATTTTTTAATTTTTGCGGTCGTATAAAAATCTGAATACATGTTTAGATTCAGCATATCAAAGAACCTCATATATTCAATTTTTGCTAAAATCAAACAAAGTTTAATTTTGGACCCTTTGGACCTTAATGTAGACCAATTTGAAAACTGGACCCAAAATTAAAAATCTAAATACACTGTTAGATTCGGCATAACAAATAAATAAATGTGATCAAACATTTTACAAATCTAATGCGCCATACTGTGCAATTAAAGATTACTTCTTGAAATTTTTCAATATTTGAAATTTGAAAAAAAAAAAAATATTTGAAGAATAATTCTTTTTAATTTCTGAAATCTGAAATGAGAAAAAATTGACCCCCCAAAAAAGATTAATTCTTTTTAATTTCTGAAATCTGAAATGAGAAAA